TACACGCGCCGTCATCCGGCGTGGTTGTGGCAGAGGGGGATGAAGGGAAAAAAACCCCGAGAAAACCGAGAAGGTTTCGAGGGAGAACCCGGGTACCTCGCGACCTCGTAGACACACCACACACGCACACACGCACGCACGGCACCCGAACGGTGGCGACGAGAGGGGGAGGGGGGAGGGGAAGGAGGCAGAGGGAGGGAAGCCGGGAGAGAAACACTCTCCGGATGACTCGTCACGAGGCACCGAGAGGCGCACTAGGAAGCGTAGTATTCCGGTGACGACGGCGACGGCGACGGCGACGACGACGACGGCGGCGGCTACGGTGGTGGTAGTGGTGGTGGTGGTGGTGGCGGCGGCGGATTAATATGGCCGTCTCTCAGTTGACAAGAAGGCTCCGATCGCGCGTAAAAGCGAGCGGCTGTAACGCTGGCGGTAACGGCAACGGCTGCTCGGTGCTGCTGGCACAACGAGATGGCACGGCGATGCGACAGTGACGGCGACGACGACGACAGCGGCAGCGACGCACTTCGTTGACGGCCTCCTCGTAGCTTGCATAAAACGCGCACGCATTTGTTTCACTCGCAGGGAAACCACCACGCACCACCCACGAGCGCGATGACTTGGCTGGAGTTTTAAAGCGCGACGTTGAAACACACTCGACGTACGCGTATCTCTCTCTCTCTCTCTCTCTCTCTCTCTCCGTCTTTCCTTCTCTTTCTCACGCGCTGTCGCTCTCCGTTTCTCCCTCGTCGGATTCTTTCCACGCGGCCCGGCGATTACAATTCCCTGCTGATTACTCTCTTCTTTCTTTACTCACTCGCCCTTTACTCATTCGTTCTTGTCTTGATCTTGTTTCTCAAAGCAGCTTTAATAGCACGATCTTGCTATCTCTTTCTCTCTCTCTCTCTCTCTCTCTCTCTCTTTCTCTTTTCCCGTTTCTCTTTTCACGTAAAAGTGCGATTGCTTCCGGGCTACGTTTTCACTCGCGACGGGCACGTATACGAGTTTTGGAACACTCGTTATCTCTCTCTGTCTTTCTCTCTCTCTCTCTCTCTCTCTCCTTTTATCTAGCTGTCCGTCTCTCCTTCCTTCGTCCTTTTACACTCTCTCTATCTCTGTCTCACTCGCTCACTCGTTTTCCCTGGACGTTCCGTAGTTGACCGTCGTCGGGAAATACCGAGAGGGAGAGAGACACACACACACACTGTGTGCAGTTGTCGGTGATGAGAAATCTTACGGCACTTGACGGGATCAACGGGCCACCACCTTCGCTCTCTCGTTCTCGCTCTCTCACACGTCCGTTCGTCGCCCGCGACGATGCTTGATACACAACGGCACGATCCAGACGGCATACGCGAACGTACGCACGCAAGCACGACTATTTTCACGCTACGCGAGGACGTGACGCGACCTCGGTGCGAACGACAACGTCAACATCACCACCGTACGCTTTCGTGGCGGCCATCTTTTTCGGGGATACAGTGGCGATACGCGAATCGCGGAACGTGAAACGCACGCGCGTACATGGGTGTAAGTGCGCGAGGGCGCTGCGCGCGTGCGAGCGGAACTGGCGCCATCCCGCGCCGCCAGCGCGACATGTCTTTCGTATTCGGCTGTGTGCGTGTCTTGTGTGCTGCGTATTCCGTGCGAGAGCGGCACGCAGGGACGCGTCAAGCGCGAAAACCGGGTGCGTTTTGTCGTCTGCGGGGGAGTGTCGATTGTATATCTTCAAGTAAGGTGAAAATTATTTTTTAAAAAGTGAATGAATTTATTAGAATATTTATATATAATTTTATTGGTCTATGAATTTGCTCATTTTTGTCATTTTTACCTCGTTTCAAAATACAATTGACTTCAACTATTCGTATTGCAATAGAATTCTCAAAAATTTTTATATTTAAGACGAGATAAATTTGGCGTTGAAGAGAGAAAGCGAAAATACTGAATTGCAAAAAGTGCAAGTAACGCGAACAAATTTATAGCTGGAGACACAACGAAAGGTTAAAGGCAATAGGAACAGGAAGTAATAAATTTCAACCTATCAGAAACCATGTATACTATTGTAAAATGGATGCTTTCTGATAGGTTGAAATCTCTTATTCCCTATTCGTATTGCCTGTGCTTTTCACTTGTATTTCTTGCTTATGTCTTTTTTAAGTAATGTAACTTAGAAAAAACATAATATATTATAGAACCGTATATGTAATAACACAAACTAGAAATCAAAGCCTTAAACGGTCTAGCTGGATCTTAAATGCTTGTATGATTCTTGTATAAATTTATATACTATTTACATATGTAGTTCTTAGAAATGATTTTTCGATCTTGAAACGCTAACTTTACTAAACTACCGCAGTCATATCACGAGTTAAATTGACTAGCAATTTAACAAATTTTTGATGCTTATTCGCATCTTTGAAACGATCTTAATAATGTTAAATGACATATTAAAATCTGTAAATAATTGATTCTTATTGCGAAAAATATTACCTCGGCCGGGAGTCGAATCTCTTAATTCGGATCTCTTACATTCCGTGCGAGCGTCCTAAGAACTACACAAAATATGCAAAGAAAGAAAAGAGAGCAGGAATAATAAAACGTAATTTCAATTAAAATATTTAAAGCTTTTTAAATAAAATTTCAATTCATTCAATCAATTTTAATAATATTTAATTCAATACTACCAACTAAACATTTATTTATAATAAATAATTATTTGTTCAGTAAAAAGAATGATCGAATTAAATTAATATTTTTTGTATCAAATATATCTTTATATTTAATAAATACTTAGTTGGTATATATTCAACTAAATAGTTTTTAAAATTGACTATATTTTTTCTCAGTGTAGACAAGTCAGCAAGAGACATAAATTAACACAAGAGTCATCCTGTCCTTGTTCGATAATCACCTAGACAACACAAAGTATCCAAAATAGAGATATAAGGCGTCTTTGGCGTTTAAAAGACGTCTTAAAGACATCTTATGTCTCAATGTGTTGTCTGGGCAGTAAGAAACAAAGACAGAATGACTTGTGTCGATTTGTGTCTCTGCTGGAAAGCTCCCGAATATAAATAAATATATGTGTGTGTATGTACATGAATATGTATATTGTGAATATGGTTATGGAAATAGATATGGATATGGAAATGGATATGGAAATAAAATGGAAATGGATATGGAAATGGAATGGATATGAAAATGGATATGGAAATAGATATGGATATGGAAATGTAATAGATATGGAAATGGAAAATATTTATATGCTTATACGTTTAACTTTTCTAAATTGTTTGCGTTTTGCTTGAAATTTAAAATCCCCAAAAATTTTTACACTTAAAACGACATAAATATATTCAGGCGTTAAAAAGAGAGAAGAGCGAAGATGTTGCAGTGCAAAAAATATAAGCGCAATGCGAACAGACCTAATGATTTCAAATTTGTAATGAGTTAAGATTGCGCAGAAGCATATGATCGAGAGGATTATTGTTTTGTTTGCATTCCTGAGTAGTAACAATGCACACGCGATGTATAAACGTGTCATGTATGCGATTGTCGTGAGAGCACGCGATACCGACTGACCTCCGTGGAAGGGGACAAAATTGCGCGCATAAGCAGTACATGTGAATGCTCGGCGGCCATGATGGCCCGGGTTGGCTGAGCGGATGACTTGGATCGAAGGAATGTGGAACGGACTGACCGACTGTCGTGTTCCACGCGTTCAGCGGAGATGATTCGTGGCGCCACGTTCGACCGTCTCCGGAAAACCGGTATCAATAATGTTGCCGATAATCGCGGTTTACGCAGCTGAAAACTTGCGTGCCAACGCACGCGAACGCAATTTACGCAAACGCTTTTAATTGAATTGAGAAAATTAGAAATTAAAAACATAAATAAGCTAATATAAATGAGCTGAATAAACTGAAAAAGTAGCTTATCTATGCGCATTATCAGTGTAAAAATATTACGCTTCGCAATTACTTTACTTGATTTTATTATTTAACAGACTAATTCATTGTTCCGTCAACGTAAAAAATATTCTACGTATTATGTAAAAATAACATGCAAGTATACATATATATCAAAATATCATATTTTTGAGGAATATAAATTCTTACAAGATAAATGTGATTCGATAAGTATATGATCAGATTGATATTAAAAACCAATAAAATTTTCATTTGTGTTATCAGCGGTTGGCAGGCATGAATGATAATCAAACGTAAAATTCTATCAAATAACATTTGATCAATTTTTCACATCGAAATGTAAAAACATTTTCTCTAAGATCATTAATTTGCAAAGAAATTATTATACCTAATACCGTATTTTTTTAATTTTAAAAGATATTTGCTCCTCGAGATTTATTTTAATTCGAAAATTATAAGTGTATAAATTAGCTTGTCTATTTGTTCTATTAAATGTATTGATTTTTTTAATTTCAAATATGTTTCAATTTCACGATACTAAATTTCAAATGTTTCAAATTTCATAATATTAATTTTTAAAATTTTAAATATGTTCCAAATTTCACAAGTATTACTATTTTTATGAGTAAAATCAAAATTTTTGCTTTTTGTAAACAAATTATTTGATAATTGTGACTTTTATGTAACGTTTAGATTAGATTATAATACATGATAATATATTTTTAAATTCTTTGATAAAAAATATAACTTAAGTATCTTTTTTGAAAAAATGGAGCCCATAGAGGAAACTAAAAAAGGAAAATAAAATCGATTCTTTTAAAAAATAACTTATATTTGGTGTTTTATAAAGGCAATTCCCAAAAAAGTATTTTAATATCTCACTCTTTGTGCTTAAATGTCAAATATTAAATTTATTTAAACAATAAACTTTTTCTTGTATTAAAAAAATATTGTACAAACATATTTTTATAAACTTGATCTGTTATATATATAAATCGTAATTACATATAAAGAATTTTTTTATTAATAAACTTTTTGATTGCTTAGAAATAAATGCTTTTGCTGATTGTGTGTATACACTCAATTTTTTTTATGTACATTAGGCATTTCAGAACAAAAAGCTTGAATTTTCAATGCTGCGAATTACTCTCGCGCATCTGCAGCATCAGAAATTTAACTCTACCAAAATTATGTCTGGTTCAATCATTACCCTTTGTTGTATAAACATCTTAAAAATGGAATGTTTTATTATATGTACTCCATTACTTGTTTTGAAAAAATAGGATATTGTTTGTACATAGACAGCTTTCGATTAACCAATGCTCATTCGCAGAGACTAATATTTTACAATTTCCTGCACCGCCGCGACAATGTTACGGGCACTGATACCGTAATTTTCGAGCAACACTGTTGGTGGACCAGAACGCGGTACCTCTGGCACCGCCAACTTCTTCACAATTACATTTCTTTCCAAAGCCACTGCAGATTGGACTGTTTCTCCTAGACCTCCTTCCGAGTAATGGTCCTCAACGGTGACAATCCTACCGCCGACCTCTTTGGCGTTCTTTATGATAGTTTGTGCGTCGATGGGTTTGATCGTAAACGGATCAATCACACGAATATTGATTCCAGCCTTGGCTAACTCATCAGCCGCCTTGATTGCCTCGTGCAATGTTACACCGGCGCCAATCACGAGCACTTGATCCTTAGCGGAAGATTTAATCACTTTGGCTTTACCGACAGCGAAGGTTTCATCGTTCTTGTACAAAACAGCCGTTGCCGGGCGAGAAGTGCGAATGAAACAGATGCCCTTAGTATTAGCCGCCAGTTCAACAGCACGCTCCGTTGACACGGCATCACTTGGGTAAAAGATGGTAGAGCCCGGGACCGCTCGGAACATCGCAATGTCCTCTAAGCCCATCTGCGAGGGCCCATCTTCGCCGATAGATACACCGCAATGTGAACCGACGAAGTTTACATTTGTCTGAGATATCGCACCCATGCGGATCTGCAAGAGAAGTCAATAATGTATTTATCTATTTCTTCATTATTATTCGCGTGTTAATTTTCACGAATTTGATTTGCGCCTCACCTGATCGAAGGCACGTGTAAAGAATGTTGCGAAAGCTGATACAAACGGTACGGTACGGTCTCTGCAAGCAGCACCAATAGCGACACCCACAACATTCTGTTCGGCAATAAATCCTTCGATAAATCTATCTGGGTCAACCACTTTTATCTTCTCAGCATAAGTGGAATTCTTAGTATCACCATCCAAAGCTATGACACGAGCATTATTCTTTGCCACCTGAAATAAAACAAAAGATATATTTAGAAATGTATTTTTTTGAAACACAAACATTAAAAATATCAAAAACGTACAAACCTTTGCAAGAGCTGTGCCATAGGCCACCCTAGTAGCTACTTGTTCGCCTAGTTTGTAATTTGGAGGAAAAGCCAATGCAATGTTGCTGATATCTACAACGGGAGCATCATCTACAAGTGGCTTTTGTGGATGCAGTTGAAGATTACCAGGATTCTTTAAAAGTCCATTTAAATGCTGTAAAATTTATATATAAAAAGTATATCACAAAAATTTACAAAAATATTAAAATTAATATTTATAATATTATTAATATCAATATATTGATATTAGTATCAATATACCTGAAGAACATCAGCCGCTCTATTGCCCAGAGGTTTGCCGTGCCAGTTTTCTGTATCTTCGATTTGAGGGAAGTTTTTGCCCTTAAAAGTCTTTGCTAAAATGGCAGTGGGACGTTCTTTTGTATTTTGTGCTTCATGGAAAGCCTAAACAACACAATTTCTTTAACATGTATTTACTTATCAATCATATCGCTTAATATAGCTATCATACCTTTGCCAATTCTTCCACGTCATGGCCATCCACAACTAAGGCATTGAAACCAAAGGCCTCTAATCTTTTGCGGTAAACTTCCATGTTATGTTGTAGTGAGGTCGGTTCGCTTTGTCCAAGACGATTTATATCAAAAATGGCACAAAGATTATCTAATTTGTAATAGGATGAAAAATGAAGGGCTTCCCAAATGGAACCTTCAGCCGCTTCTCCGTCACCAATCAAACAGTAAACACTGAAAAATAAATAAATGTTTGTTATCAGAGATATTAGAAAAAAAGAGAAGGTGGATTTAAATATCGAAGAAAATTTCAATAATTTAAATAAACAATTGACTATTAAATAATATACCGGTAACTGGCTTTATCGTAGTTCTTTCCGACGTAAGCCATGCCTGCAGCAACTGAGAGGCCTTGCCCTAGTGAACCGGTTCCTACATCTACAAAATTAAGCCTCGGAGTAGGATGTCCCTCCAAATCGCTATCGAATTTTCTCAAATTCAATAATTCGCTGGTCGGGAACAAGCCTGCTTCCGCCCATGCTATAATAAAATGTAAATGTAAAATATATATAAAAATATATATAATTGCATATATAATAATATATGCACAAATGTAATATATAAAATAATTATTCAAAAATATCGACAAATGTTACACATTTAAAAATTATAATCAATAAAAATGTTATTAAATTAATTATATTAAAATGTATTAAAATATTTTTATTTACTAATTATATCAAATTAATTACATTAATAAGGTGCAGTAATTTATTGGCAGTAAAAATTTACCTGCGTAAAGAATTGGAGCTGCATGACCTTTACTGAGGACGAATCTATCACTGTTTGCATCACGTGGTGCTGATACTTTGTAACGCATTGTATGGAAGAAGAGGACGGACATAATTTCGGCCATGGATGAACATGATGTCGGATGTCTGGAGCAAAACAAAATATAAATGAATATAAAATTAAATCCGAATGATTTACAGTTCCAGACGATAAAAATACTTAATTGACGGTTCTTTTTTCTAAATGTTTACACATCAGTGATAATTCTGTTCACGTAATCGAACGATATCTGTTTTTCGTTATTCACTATCGTGACAAGGTCAGAGGTATTGGCAATATATTATCAGATTTATTCTATCTTCAATTCTTTTGCCGTGATGGGTCACAGAGGCAACGATATTCATAAATATGACAAATATTTGTTACAAAATGTTACACAACATTTTATCTTTTATCATCACTTACTATATATAATTCAATTCAAGTACAAATAAATTCACTTTTATCTATCATTATCTCCTATATGTAACTAAAATATGATTAAAGAACAGATATTAAAAAATAAAGACAAATGAAATTTAAGTCTCTATTTGTTATTTAAGTCGTTATTTATTACATTAAAAAAAAATCATCCCAATAATCTTCACTGCACAATAATGATTTTACAATTTGTATGACTTATTTAATGCGGTTTAAAGATTAATGTTCCATCTGGATGAAAAAGCCCGAAATATGTTAGCTAATTATAATGTTAATAATAATTTGCAATTTCTCGCCATACCCGCTCTTTGATGCTTCAGTCGCTTTCACGCATTCGATGCGCAGTTTATTTGCGATATGTTGGAGTTTTTCCACATCCGTGTCTCGTACCATCGTGAATTGAATTACACCCAAATCTTTTGAGACTATCGTCTATTAACGAACATTCGATCGCAACTGCCGGCGAGTGAAAGGAGTTTCGCCGGCAAACGGACTGCTGCGCGCGATTATCTCCCTACCTCTCCAATTCATCCCTACAACGACGACTACAATGATGACGATATATAGAACATTCAGAATATATACAGTGTCTCAAAACAAACGTATCAGCGTAAAAATCATTGAACTGCAATTTTTCTCTTCTTTAATATTTCAAAGTCGTCTTCCGATTCAAGTAGATGCTTCCACTTTCATTATTTTTACTTGAATCTTTTGTTTTTAACAGTGTCTTCTTGCACTTGCATTCCTCTATCTTAATCATTACTCTAATTATTTAAGTTTTGGACACGAAACCATAAATTTTAAAAATACAGAAAATTAGAATCCTATTACCTTATTTCCGCCATCTTATTTCGCACTGCAGATAAGTAGTCGTTTCACGAAGTGTGTAAATATGTAAATACATTTACACCACAGTGAAGTTGATCCACAGAACATACGTATAATAGCGTGTGTATTTGATTTACATACCGGCAATTCAAATTTTTCAGACACGTATCTTACATAAGCGCACTTCTACTGTTTATTTTTTCCTCCAAAGAAAAAAAGAAATCGCAGAATTATTCTAAATAAATTTCAACTTCAAGAGATACAATTTTCTCGCATTTTCCTTAATTGATACTGCCTTAACGAAAAACTCACTCTTTATACTAAAATTCATGAGTCTTTTCTATTAATTATACAGTCGTCGTTCGAATTATATACGGTAAATTATTTATTAGAAAACCTAATGCACCGCTATTATCATACTTCCTTCGCTGCGTGACCTCGACGACTGCAAATGATTCCTTCACTTCTTACATAGTTCTTACAATAGTCCATATGTAAACTGATTGTGAGAAATATAAAATGACAATCAAATGACAACCCGGAAAGACATTATTCATCAACTCGATATCTTTGCAAAATACATGGCACATTTTTTCATTTATCAACGATATTTATTTTTAAATCGATCACTTTATCATTAAAAGTTTATTAATCATAAATATAATAAACTAGAAATGTAATATATATTTTATTTATATATATCTAACGTAGATAATATATAATAAATTAAATTAAATTATCTTCCATCTTAAATCCTTTTAATTTTTATAAAATAATGTTACTTTAATTGGTTAAATAATAATTTCGTTAATTTCTTCCTAACTTTGGCGAAATTGCGAAAATACTGGAAGTGCGAGTCATGAAGAACGCGCTTGTGAGTTGAAAGAAAAACTAATGAACTAGCAATTCCTTAAATTAGATCGCCGACAAGACATTCCGATTCGGCGCGATGAAAAAGAATCGTAGATAGCGTGATTAGATTTTATAATTTAGCTTAATCTATATATATATATATAATAATACGCGCGCAAATTACTAATGTAAGTTAATAAATAATTCTAAGAGAACAACACATTTGTCTTTTTCCACTCTTCATTTCCAAGCACAAATCGATAAAATTGTACTCAATTAGATTTATGTTCCAGATAAATAATACGTAATTTACATTTGATCATCGTATTTTTCTTATTTATTATACAAATGAATGGAAAGATCATCTTCGCCTAATTAGAGTACGAATAATCTATGCTGTAAGAGTAAACTGAAGTTATATTAATTTGAATATATACGCTCCAAAGCTTTCACGAAAATACGTTCGATATAAAACGAATTCTTGTTCGTTTTAGAGCCATGGCATTGCATGGCACGCAAAAAAACTCAGGCAGTCAAATGTAGAAAGCAGTAAGCAAATTGATCATCAGAGTAGAGACAATAAGGTCACAACATAAGCAGTAGCAAATTCAACACGATGATTTGCTCACGTTTTACTGCTTAAATTTTTTGTGTGTCATGGTTCTTATTTGGAAGATTGAAATGCTTTCAAAGAGATGATACATGATTGTTAAATAAAGAACGCGGGGATAAAATGATGTGTATCATTTTACCCTTCTTCAATATTTAATGAATAATAAGGATATAATGATATCTCATGCGCATCATGCGTAAAAACGGAACGCATTCGAAGTTAATGATATCGGAAATCATACGATTGAGTTAAGCCCGTGTCACGCTAAACGCGATGATGATTGAGAATTGCGAATTGAAGATGAGAATTCAGTCAATCCGAAATGGATTAATCAATTGATAGAAATAATCCTATTTTCGGTCAAAGTAGATCTTAATGCTTAATAATAATAAATTATGATTGATCAATTTTTTACGGCTTGAGACTTAGAGCTTAAGTTTTACGCGATAAAATCTTGTTGACGTCGTTTAATGTATCACCTATCCTTTTTTAATATTCGGTGGACAACAAAAACTACACATGCGTGAAATGGAATCCTAATTTGACAATCTCAGTCTCGAAGGTGTATTATAATTACGGTTGCCAGTTTTCTCCGATTTAAATACCAGAGATTCCATTTATTTCCGAAAATCGACTGCTACTTTCAAAATTATTACTCTCTTGTAATACGTTCTTTTAAAAACGTAAAAAAAAAAAAAAACATCTAATGTTTTCCGTCAGCCGGAGAATCAAAGATTTGTTCAAAAATCTTCGGATGAAAACCGAAGAATTTGACACGGGCTTGAAATTTAATTAGAAACTAAAATTCGACCGTCAGACAATTTACTTTAATCCGTTTCGTTCTGATTGTCTGAATTCTAATTTTCAATTCCCAATCTCCAAAGTGCAGTGTGTGACATGGACTTTAGGCGCTGAATCGGCGTTTTGCGTTAATTTACATTAGGTCCGCATTTCAATTCATATATACAATTATGAATAGCCGCGTTATATTGGGCGCGACGGTTTTTTTTTTATCAGGAATCATGCGAATCTATCGGGTCATAAAAACACGTGCCAAGATGCATAGATACATACTCTTTACGCTATAAATACTCCGCAATTAATTAGTAATGCTATATTTGTATAGCTTGGTCGACGCACACGTCAACTAAGTGCGCAATCAATCAAGTGTCAAGTGTTTTCTTAATATCCACCGACTGCAATTTTTAAACTCTTATTCTGTCCATCTCATGAATTCTTCTCGTCGGATACTTGTGCTGTTTTAAATGAATCGTTTTCAAACGCAAATGAAGGCAATTAACGATCCCGACGGTTGCCTAAATCGATACTATTCACGCGGGAATTTCCAAACACGCGGTTACATCATTATCACGCAATCACGAGATGCGTTCTCGCTTATCATCGCGGCGATGTGTACATACCTCCCCGTAGCAGAGTCCACCGGTCATAGTTGCCGGAGTGACCGTATTCGTTTATCATCGCCGATTAGGAAGCGGATGACGAACTCACCCGGATTTGCTGGCCTGCGTTGCCTCGATCGAATGAATTCTCAACTTGTTCGCGATGTCCCGTAGCTCCTGAATGGTTTTCGACTCCGGCTTGTGATAATTTGCCATGTTTTGACCACGTGCGTGCGTGTCTCAGCGACTTTATCGAACAGCTACCTCGTGACTTTTTCGATGGTCCCCGCAAAAATGCAGCGAACGAGGCGAACGTGCGCATGCGAGCGCGCAACAAGTACATGCAACACATACGTAGATACGTAGAATTAGTAGATTCGCGGGGCCCGAGAATACTCGAGGACGCCCGAGGATAGCCGAACGCGATCATACAGGCCAGAAGTGCCAGAACAGTCACAGGCCTAGTTTTCATCGAGGATTTTAATCGGATCAGATGTAATACCCGTATCATAGTCATTCCTTAGTCGTAATCATCGTAATTCATAGTCAGGCCTTATATTAAAGGCTCCCTTAGAAATTTATCTTTAGATGCTCAATTATTTCATTGGCTGCTGAGCCTTAAGTACAAGATTCGACTATGAATACGGGTATAAGAACCAACCAACTACAGTCGAGTATTCCCCTGTTACAGTCGAACAATAGGGAAATGCTCGACTGTAGTTGGTTGGTTCTTACATGATTCGGTTTAAATCCTCGAGGTGGAAACTAAGCCACAGACACTTCTAGGCTGCGTTCAAGAATTAAGGCATTGACTGTTCAGCAGAATTGACCAATTACGATTAATACTTAATCGAATTAGATTAATCGGAGTTGATTAGACCAACCCGTAGTTTTTGAAGATGTTTTCAAAATTAAAGGCAATTTTTTTGAGTAAGCTTTTATAAAATTAAAGTCAAAGGCAACGGAACTTAAGCCTGCGACACACGATGCTTGTTTTTCTGCTAGATTACTTAGCTGAATTAGAACCTTACCATCGTATTGGCTGCGATGCTGGCACTGACAATTATCGGTGTGATTGCGCAGATATTTTATATGGTGAAAAAGCTGCGTAACGACATCGACAACTATTGGTAAGGCGTGTAAAAGTTACGGAATCGCGGCCGGTTAATTCGGTCTTAACCCTAAAATCCTAAAAGTCAGCTAATACAGATTTCAGTTAGTTACCAATTAAGACTGGCAACTTATTGGCTGAATTTTAGGATTTTAGGCCCCCTGCGCACAATAGAAAGAATAAGGAATTAAAATTAAAGAAACTGTATATTCCGATGTATTTGATTTCTGATAGGTTAAAATCGTTTATTCTTTATTCCTAATTCCTTATTCTTTCTATTGTGCACAGGGCCTTAAAGTTAAGATCAAAATATAAGCCGAGCTTAACTATATACTTCGTTGTAATTAAAATTAAATAATCGAAAAAAAAGAACTAAATAATCGCGCGTTGAGATATTTTGAGATACAGAACTAAATATTTTCTGGTCACCAAAATAATTTCTGTTTTTTTAGAACTTCAATCGATCAGTGTGGTTGTTGGTAGTTGACACATCAGCTGTTTCAAATAAATAACTATCATCTGTCGAACTTGTCAAGTGTTGAACATTGTTTTTACATATAAATTGGAAAGAAAAACTCCATCAAAATTATAACGTTCATTTGCATCGTGTAAACTTTTATATGTTTTATAAATAAAATAATTATTAGCCGGTTTGTGCTATGATATCACTGTACTTATCTTAGTGCCGAGACGCTGCTGTGTCTTCAGATTGTGAAAAATATTATCTCGCATGAATAATTCATAATTAAAAGACATAAGTACAAATATCAAGTAAATGGGGGAACAGTTAAATTGAATAAATTACATAACATTCGTATTAAACAAGTCAATATAATTAATTTTACACGCTCTTGCAGTAATAAATATATTGTTGTCTAAAACGCTATAAAGAATTAATGAACGTATAGTGTATAATACGTGACATATTTACATTTATTAAATATTTTTTGATAAAATTATCTGTAACCAGTAATATGAATTTTTAAGATTATTGTTTATGTTAAATCTTAATATTTTTAATTATTATTAAGTAATATAATTCAAATTATGATAAAGATTAATATATATTAATTTCAAATAAAAACTTTTTTATATTAGTATTACATGTGATGTTGCTTCATGTATTTTAATTTTATTTTTTATATTTCTTCTACTATTATTTTATTGTGCTACCAGAACGGAAAAGACAATGGAAGAGACTAATTGCGAGCCAACGTATCAAGGATACTTCATAGGTCATAGTGATGCAGTTACTGCTTTAAACTTTCATCCAAATGCTGATCGACTCATATCAAGCAGTACGGACAACACAGTAATGTTATGGCGATTGAAACATTTAAAGCCAGCTTACAAGTTTATAGCCCACAAAGAGGCTGTCTTGGACGTGTGCTATTCACCAAACGGAGAAGTTATGGCCAGTGGTTCAAAAGACAGATCTGTAAGAATTTGGATTCCTAAAGTTAAAGGACATTCCTTTGATTTTAGGGCTCATAGTTCTGCTGTAAGATCAGTACAGTTTAATCCAAATGGGGAAAAGGTAATTTTAAATTCAATTATCTAATTATCAACTATTTCGTTATAGATCTTGCTATAGACAGTTTATGCAATTGTTTATTATAATTTTTAGTTAGTTACTGCGTCGAACGACAAAAGTGTAAAGCTGTGGATACCATATCAAAAAAAATTCCTCAAGACATTTAGTGGACATACATATTGGGTAAGCTGTGCTAAATTTTCTCCGGATGGTAAACTTTTGGTATCATGTAGCGATGACAAAACAATAAAAATCTGGGATATTACCAGCGGACGATGTGTCAAAACTTTTAATGAGATAAAAGGTTTGTTAAATGCATCACAACTTCGTATATCAGAAACCTAGAGTAAAACTTTATTATATTAGCTCCCGCTAAATATGTGGAATTTCATCCAAGCGGCACGACTATTGGATCAGCAAATACAGATGCGTGTGTCAAATTGTACGATTTAAGAACAGATTCTTTATGTCAGCATTATGCTGTTCATACAGAGCCTGTGAATATGATTAAATTCCATCCAAATGGTAAATTTATGTTAACAGCATCTACAGATTCTACAATGAAGGTAGTTTAAGATTTTGGTTTCATTTAGCGGTTTCAATAAATTATTATCTGCTATTAACAAGAAACATCGACTAGATTTTAGATATTGTAGAAGGCCGTCCGATTTATACTCTCAGAGGACATTGTACTAGCATAACATCCATAACATTTTCAAAAGATGGTACACTTTTTGCTTCTGGTGGCATTGATCGACGAATTCTAATATGGAAGTGTAATTTATGTGTGGATGATCAAGGTAGAGAAATTCCTGCACAGTTAATGTCATCTACATCAAACAGGAACTTGATGACGCGAATCTCTAGCAAACAAAAATTTGACAATATGGAAAAATCGAACAGCAGCGAAGTACAAGATATACATAAGAAACAGGATCAAGAGAAAGTAATAACTTAATATATGCAACTAATTTATTAAACTATAAAAGGCAGCAGTTATTTTATTTAAAAAAAACCGTGCTGTTACATTATATTAGGAACTATTAATTTTATAATATGTATACATTTCAGTATTTATCATATAAATTAGAAAAATCACATCTAAAATCATACAGGAGTCAAGAACCGTCAACGAAAGGTGAAACCTAAATTAACATGGATACTGAATTTTCTGGAAAGATTCTTTTCCATTGTGTAAAAACATGTTAATTCAACAAAATCAAACATCGTCCATTGCCGACATTGAATCAATCCATTAAAACATTCTGTGACCAAGTACAATTATTATATCACTGTAAATGTATTAGATGAATATCACACTATGAATGTATTAGAGAATGTATTAATGCTTTACAGTATTATAAGAGATACTTAACTAATTCCTTCAGGTATTAGCTTATAGAATAATATGTAAAATATGTGTGTGCAATATTGACAATTTGTTTTCCAAATAGAATTTTAAATGAATAGTTTTATAATGTATATTACAAAGATGAAAGAAATTTTCTAACAAGTAGTGTTTCAATGCTTTACATTATACAGAATATGTCAAAACTTCATGAACGTGTAGAAGATTGATAAAAAAAAGTTTTCAAGAGATGTGCTTATTTTTTTTGTTTTGGAAACAAATTGTAAAAAGACGTTTTTATTTTTTACTTATTTATCATTTATTCATTTATACATTTATTTATTTATTTATTTATGTTATCATTCCTTAATTAAGGCATTGTTCAAAATGTTGACTTTTTTGTAGCAATGTAAGCATTGTACTAACAGCCCGTAGACTGTTGCAACTAGAGTAACGATCATGTGACTTTTTCACTAAGGTGAAAATGTAAAAAGTGAAAATTTTATCATTGAAAGTAATGGAGAAATTTTTATTTTTTAATTTTTCACGTTTTTATTTTAGAAAAAAAGACATGATCGCTATCTGAATAGTGTTCTGATGATTTTCCTGATTAAACAATACTTTCATTAAGGAAGTGACACATACAATACATAAATAAGTAAAAAATAAAAACTTTTTTGTTTTTTTTGTTTTTTGCAATTTTCTCTAAAATGAAGCAAAAAGGAAAATCTATAAAAAAACTTCTTTTTACCGATCCCCTATACGCTTCGGAAGTTTTAAAAATTTGACACATCTTATACATACCAAAAAACACAGTGTATCTTGTGTTACATTATTTAAATTTATATAAATTATAATTAAATACATATATATTTTGTAATTTACTTGAACATTTTAGTCTACATTATTTTAAATATACTATTTTTGTACTTTTATATATATATATATATATAATATATACACGAGTAAGTGTAATTTTTTATTTAAAAATGTACATACATAAATATCTCTATATTAAATGATATTATATCTATATATTAACAGCATCTATTGCAATCGTATGTTACATAATATTGCTCATTTTCCTTAATGAATTCCTAAAGATTTCTTGATCGTTTCTAAAATCTCGAATCGAGCAAAGTGGTCCACGAATACTTTCTTTCCTAGTAACTCTATCTTACTGTAAAAATCATCTATACATCCCAGTAAATAGTATGAGATGCTTTGAACGTAAATCATAACATTTTTTTTTATTAAACTTATAGTTTTATCATTATAATATTTATAAATAGATAGTCAATCTAACTAGTCGATCTAACTAGTCGATCGTACAGTATCTGGAGATCTTAAAATAATTTTTTTTAAATTTCGAAGTATTCGATGAATAACGAGCCTGACAGTCCATTCGGAAATAATTAAAATGAGCCAATAAACCTCAAAAAGTTATTTAAAACGTTATTTAATTACTTGAAAAAAATATGCGTTAGAGTGCTTTTAACTTTCAAAAGGCTGTGTTTAACCTATAGACAAACTTTTAAAATTAGGAAGTCAAGGGCGCGCGATTGGATACAGTTAATTTATGAAGCAACTACTGTCGAAATAAAAGTAAATTCGCGTATGCATGTACATGGCATAATTACATGTTGAAATATTTTGTGGTAGGACTATTATTCAGATCACTTTCAAAATTTATTTCTTTGGAACTTCAATTAGCATAGTTATTGATATCTGATCGAAATACATATCTAAATCTACTGACTTGTTTTGCTTGGAAAAAGAAATCGACAATTATAACGTTTGGACACAGCGTGTAAACCTTTTCGCTAAGATATATTCTGTAAGTAAAATAATATCATTATGAACAATATATTCTTTCATGAATGATTTGTAATTAAGAGATAGAAATGTTAATTAAATAGGATATTTAATAGTTAAATTGAATAAAGAAGACAATATTCGCATTGAACCAGTTAGTATCATTAATTTTTATATCCTTGCGATAATTGCATTATTAATCTAAAATACTAAAGAATCATAAAGGTGTCTTCACGTTTAACATTTTTTTTAATACAAATTTTTAGAGTTATATATATTTATGTTAAATTAATTCTTGTATCATACATTTATACGTATAATATAATTCGTAAGTTAGTTAAGTTTAAAAATTAAAATTTCACTATATGTCATGTATAATTTTGCTTTTAATTAATTATTCTTTTACTATTGTGGATTAATTTCTTCTTTTAGTCATTTCTTTATTATTGTGGAGTATTTTACTGTACTGCTAGAACAATGAAAAAGAGTGCCTTTAAACATACGACGTACTTATACCGACAGTACAAAGGTCACGACGATGACATTACAGCATTAAGCTTCTATCCACAAACTCATACATTGATATCGAGTAACCTGGATAAAAAGTTAGCATTCAAAAAATTTGAAGCCCATACATCCTATATATCCGATGTATGTTATTCACCAGATGATGATTTTATAGCTACTGCTTCTAAAGATCAATCTGTCAGAATTTGGAATGAAGATCATTACTTAAATTTCGCAGAATTCAGAGGTCATCGTTCTCTCGTGAGATCAGTACAATTTAGTCCAAATGGAGACAAGGTAATTTTTACGTTTTATTAATTATTAATCAGAGTTAGGTAATGCTAAGTTAAAAAGATAAAAGTTAAGTTAAAAAGTTAATTAATTTTAACTTAACTTAGTTATAATTTAGACTCTTAACTTTTCAACTTTATTTAGTTACATTTCATCCGTAACTATTAATTTTTTATTTCATTTTTTTGAAGTTAAATCTCAGACAAAATACGCGGTAATAGTGATAGCTTAAAATGAGGTGAAAATTGCAAAAGTGAACAAATTTACTAGGTGTTGACTAATGAAATTATAAATTATATTCTAGTGAATTTGCTCATTTTTGTAATTTTCATTTTATTTCAAATTACACAATCGACTCCCGAGATTTCAATCTGTCAGAAACCGTGTATATGTTTAGTTTTTGATAGATTTAAATCTATTATTTCTTATTATTATAAATATAACATATCAATACCATCGGTTCACGTTGACCGGCTGTTCAATGCAGAAGGGCTCATTTTTGATAACTTGCGAAAAAAGATGTGCGACAAAAATTTCGAAATGGTTTTATTACTTATATTTATTAAGTACATGTGAACAAAATATTCGAACAGTATATGTATATAACAATCTATGTAAACAGTATATATGAACTAAACATATAAATAGAATATAGAGTATTTTTTTAATGAAGTATATATTTGTCATTTTCGTTATTTGTAAGACTGAAACCCTGAAATCATCAAATAAAAAAACAAATTTAACTTTTAACTTTTCAATTACTTTTTTTTATTAACTTAACTTTTTCAATTCAATTAATTTTATTATAAATTAATTTGTATTTTAACTTTGTAAGTTAAATTTTCAAGGTTGTTAACTTTAACTTATCTTAATTTAAAAAAAAAGTTAACTTACCCAACTCTATTATTAATCAATCAGATTCTTGTCACAGACGATTTACATAATTGTTCATCGATATGTTTAGTTTGTTTCCGCGTCAAATGACGAAAATATATTGCTTTGGGAACCTTATTGTGGAAAATACTTGAAGACATTTAGTGGACATACAGATTGGGTCAGATGCGTCAAATTTTCTCCCGATGGAAAACTTTTACTATCGTATAGCGATGACAAAACAGTAAAAATATGGGATATTACCAGCGGACAATGTGTCAAAACTTTTAATACGGAAGGTTTGTCAAATGTATTATAATTTCATCTTTTAGGAACTTAAAATAAAATTTTTCTATATTAGTTCTCGTTAGAGACGTAGAGTTTCATCCAACTGGTACAATTATTGGATCAGCAAATGTGGATGGATATATTAAATTGTATGATTTAAGAACAAATTCTTTGTGTCAGCATTACACTCATGACAAAGAGGTAAATATGATCAAATTCCATCCAAATGGAAAGTTTATATTAACAGCGTCTGATGATTATTCAGTGAAGGTGTTTTTAATTAAATCTTTGATTTCATACAGTAGTTTCAATAAATTATTACCAAATTGTTATTTGCTGGTAACAAGCAATATCGGTTAGATTTTAGATATTTTAAAAGGCCATCCAATTTATTCTCTCAAGGAATATTATGATAAGGTAACATGTATAGCAAATAATGGTGAGCTTTTTGCTTCTGGTAGCACGGATCAACAAATAGTATGGAAGTATAATGATTTATGTATGGATGATAGAAAGAGTTCTACATTGCAGTTAGTGTCTTCTGCAACAGCAAATAAGAACTTGATAAGGCCTAGTCCTGTCAAGCAAAAATTTGACGATGGAAATGAAAAATCGAATAGTGACGAATATATGCATGAACAATTTGACTACGGGAATGGAAAATCGAAAAGGGGGGAAAAAGAAAATGAAGAAGATGAAGAAGAATATATAAAAGTATATAAGAAGCTAATCCAGAGAAACGTAATATAACTTAATATATATAAATGTTCTATTAAGCTACAGAAAATAATGGTTGCAATGTGTTAAAAAATAATAATTTTTGTTAAGTTATATCAAGAATTGTTAGTTTTATAATATACAGGATGTCCCATAAATTTTTGCCAAGCGCTTTTGTGTAGATATTTCGACTAAATTAAGTCGAAAGTCTTTTACCATTTTGCAATTTTCGGAATGGTTAACGAGATATTAATTACTAAAAAATCACTGAATATTGGTTTTCAATAATTTTTTCAAATACTATCAACTTTACAGAAAAACAGCGAGAGACAAAAATTGTTTATTTTCTTCTCATAAAGTTCTGAGAATTTTTTTAGAATTTTTTAATACCATATTTTCTTATGTTGATAAAAATAAGAAAATGCAGTACTAAAAAGTTGATAAAAAATTCTGAAAAAATTCTTAAATTTTTATGACTTAAATTGTAATGTTTTTTGTCTCTTGCAGTTTTTTGTAAAGTTGATAGTATTTGAGTACTTTTCGACTCAGTTTAGTCCGCTCTATCTACACGAAAGTGCTTGGCAAAAACTTATCTGTATATCATTGCAAGAAAAGAAAAAAACCTTTAATGGTCAAGCTGGATCTTAAATGCTAAAAATATAATGAATTTATATACTATATATTTATATACTATATATGTAGTCACTTAAATTGTGCATTGAATTAATTTTTCGATCTTGAAACGCAAAACGATTGGACTACAATAATAATATCATAAATTAAATTATTTAGTAATTTATTAATTTAAAACATTATTTCAGTGCGCAATTTAATAAATTACTACATAAATTTACATATAATTATTTAAGCACTTAAGATCCAGCTTGAAAGGTTTTCTTTGCTTTCTTCTTGTGTGTTCACAATACTGTCTTAAAATCTCTTTGTTTAATATATCATTGCAGTATTTATCAAGCATATTAAAAAAATCGCACCCAAAATCAGATGACAGTGCAGGATTATCAGCAAAAATCGTGGAACCTAAAAAAATGAACGTTGAATCTCCTCAAGAAGATTATGCAAATTACGTGCCCATGTTCTCAAAACAGCCCCACATTTCAAAACAATCCCAAACAGTTTCAAAAGATCAGACATCGTTCAATACACTTTCTAATCAGTCTATTACAGCATTAGAAAAAGATTCAGTTTTAAATCAAATACAATTATTACATAAAAATTATAATGTATTAGAACAACGTTTGACAATATTAGAAAAGTCATTTAAGAAACTATATATAGACTGTAGTTTTTTTTAGCTAATACTCGTTAATCACTTTGAACAATATGTATACAGGACTGGCATGTATTTGAAATGTTTGTATTTAAAACACGTTTTTTTGCATCTTTATTTTGTATCTTGTATTTTTTTAAATCGAAAAATGATAAGTTTTTTATATCATGTAATTCAAATAATGACATTAATTGTTAATCTTAATATTTGAAATACATACTTTCAATCTTTCATTATTAATAGTAAAATATGAAATACAAAATACTTTTATATATGCTCTCATAAAATACAAAATATTTGCATCTGCACTTGCATAATACAAAATTTAATTGTATTTATCTTACAAATGATGTTTTTCAAATAAGTAATATTCCATTGCATGCTTAGTTCTGATAATAATGTATGTGTGAATATTAACAATTGTTTAATTGTTCAAGCAAATTTTTAATTAAATAATTTTACGATGCATTTTACAATCAAGGTTACTCAATTGTTTATTACAAATGAAGTTAATTGCAAACGACAAGATAGTAGATTATAACGCAAACTAGTTCGACACTTTATGCGCCACGATTTCTACTATCTTTTCTATTCATATACCTTTTCAATTCTTTATCTTCTTCCTTTTTTCTGTTCTTAGTTCTTGCTTATCTTTTAAAAAAAGAATTAGAAAGATGAGCGAGAGAAGACAAAGAAAGTAGAAAAAGAGGGGAAGAGAGAGAGAATAGGAAAGAGAGCGAGAAGGGTTATTTATTCGTCTAATTAGTTTGACTGTAATTTTAATATTATCGCCCGACTGTGATTATCAATTATAGAGATAATTGTAAAGACAAAATTATAATTTTACGATAATATACAAGATACTACAGCATTAAAAGTATACATATAAAGTATATTTATTTATGGAGCATTTAAATAATAAAAGAGATATCATATATTTAATAATATATATTATCCAAATATTTATATTAATATAATCGCTAATTTATATTAATTGTGGATAATGTTAGCATTCCTCAATTATCTCCGGGCTCTCGAGACTTTTTGTGAAAATTTGTCCACGGTTGATGATCTTCAATAATATCTTATCGGTGTTATCAGTTAAAAATGCTTATTAGATTATTAATAGGCCTCCAAATATTGTAAAATCATATCTGGAAATAACTAAAATGGATTAATAAGCGAAAGTAACATTATTTTCTTTTAACTGAAAACAATAGAAGTTTTCGATAACATATGTTTCAAACGAATATTTTTCGGGCAAATTTTTATAAACTTTTAGGAAGTCCATATGATGACTGCATTTAATCAATCAGAATACTTCATTTATGAAGTATTATGGAAACCACGCAATCGGAATTAAAAATAAATGTATATGTACCGAATAATCGCGAGTAAGATATTTTGTGGTAATTGAGGAACTATTTTAATCACTTCCGAAATTTATATTTTTTGAAACTTTTCAATGAAAAAATTTCACTAAAATTATTCCATATATCTTGAATACATTTATACTTATAATTTTTCTTTCACTATTCCTATTGTGAATTTATTGTGCTGCTAGGACAATGAAACAAACTGGCCGTGATCTTAGAGAATACAAATATTTGGTAGGACACCACGATGTTACAGCTTTAAGCTTTCATGCGATAAAATTAATCGATTTATATCGAGTAGCTTAGATAAAACATTAAGTTTGGAAATTAGATATATGTACGAAAACAAAATGTTAAAAGGTTGAAGTCTATAAATCCGGTATACTGGATGTATGCTATTCACCAAATGGTGATCTTATAGCCAGTGCTTCAGAAGATAGTATCAGAATTCAAGAGTTCTGAAGGTAGACATTTCACAAAATTTGAAGGTTATAGATCTAATGTCATAGATCAGTACAGTTTAGTCCAAAGGGGGACAAGGTAATTCTTGCGTTTAATTATTTATAGTCGATTTGTCATAAATTTTCACTATAGGCAATTTACATCATTGTTTATCCATGATTATGGATCAACTTATCATGTCCTAGATTTTATCATGTGTTTATCAACATCATGTGTGGATCAACAAACGAGGATGCGTGTATTAAATTGTATGA